AGAGGTCAAGGCTATGATGGAGCAAGTAATATATCAGGTGAGTTCAATGGGTTGAAAGCTTTAATTTTAAGAAAGAACCCACAAGCTATGCATGTTCATTGGTTTGCTCACCAGTTTCAGTTGGCAATTGTATTTGTCGCACATAGGAATTGTATGCTTGGTGATTTGTTTGACGTACTTGCTATTATTGTGAATTTGATTGGTGCATCATGTAAGCGTGTAGATGCTCTTCGAACAAGTTATCAAGCTAATATTCTGAAGAAGCTTAATATTGGGGAACTTACTGGTGAAAGTGGTCAGTTTCAAGAAATGAGTTTGGCACACCCAGATGATACTAGGTGGGGCTCACATCTACTGACAATTACTCGTTTCATTAATATGTTTAATGCTATCATAGATGTTCTTGAAAATATATTAGAAGATGGCGTACATTCAGATAAAAAATCTTCGACCGTAAGATAGATGAACGCTATGCAAGATTTTGAGTTTGTGTTCAGTCTTCACTTTATGTTCGAAATTTTTGCAATTACAGACGACCTTTCACAAGGCTTACAGAAAAATGATCAGGATATTTAGAATGCAATGAGGTTATTGAATTTGTGTAAGTGTGGATTGCAGAACCTGAGAGAGAATGGTTGGGATACTTTGTTGAGTAGGGTGATTGAGTTTTGTGTTGATAGACATATTTTAGTGCCCAATATGGAGGATATTGTAGTGGTGAAAGTTCGACCTAGGCGTGTAGCTTAGCAGGTGACTTATTTTCGTCTCCTTTATATTGATTTGTATTGTCATACGATAGACTCAATCTTGCAAGGGTTGAATGATCATTTTCCAGAAATAACTATTGAGCTCTTTACTTGCATTTCATGTTTAAGTCCAAGGGATTCATTTGTAGCTTTTGATAAGAATAAAGTGCTACGTTTTGCTCAGTTCTATCCTTTGGACTTCAATAGTGAAGAGTTTTTATTATTTAGACCTCAGCTTGATAAGTTTCTTTTGCTTGTGAGAATGGACGAAGCTTTCTTTAATTTTAATAGCATATTTTGTGTAGCTCAGAAGTTGGTTGAAACTGGAAGTTCCTGTTATTTTCCATTGGTTTATAGGCTGCTCACCTTGGCATTGATATTACCTATGGCAACTGTAAGTGTTAAAAAGGTATTTTCTGCTATGAATTCTAATCAACTGTGATTTGCGCAACAAAATGGGAGATGTCTGGTTGAATGACAATTTAGTGGTTTACGTGGAGAAAGCTATTTTTAAAAAACTTGAGAATGAGGCAATATTGCAACGTTTTCAAATCATGAGGCCCTTTAGAATCCAGTTGTCTAAGTTTACAGTTACAGAGTAACTGAGTAAGGTTGTATCGTAATTTTTTTACTATTTTGGGTTGTATTGAAGTATAGTTTCATATGTATACAATTTTGACGTTTCAGTTTATTTACATATATATTAAATAACTTTTAATATTATATAACTAATTTTATTAAACGATCGGACTATTATGATCGTCGACGATCAACGGTCAACCCGTTCTAGTCCGATCGTCGACGGTCAACAGTTAACGATCAACCCGCCCTAGCAGGACTTCGATCCTGAATTCGCCGTCGATGGTGGTCACAGTTATATTACTGATAAGTGTGTTTTTACACACTTATTTAGCTCACAAACATGACTTAAATATGGAAAAAGTAGTTGAATTGTGACTTAATCTTGTTAAATTCATGCAATGTAGGTGTTTCTATGGAAAAGATGGAATTCAGAAGAAAAGAGCCGAAAAAGGACCAAAACAGAACAAAGCGATAGTTCGGGGACCAAGTTACAAATAATCCATAGATGAGACGGGAAATGGAATGAAGATTCAAGAGTGTTAGAGGTTAATCGGATGAGGAAAGGAGTCAAGAGGTGAAATATGGTTGAAGTATTATCAAGTATCAACTTTCAGGCGAAAAAGTTATGCTCGTAATTTTGAGTTTCTACTTGAGATTCATTTTTGGCATAGTAAACTTCAGAATTTGAGGAAGCCGATTTCTATCAAAAGTGTATATTTTTGGTTTTCTTCCCAATCCACTTCGAATCACTTCAATCGGAGATCAGAAAAGAAAGTTATGACCAAAATATTGAAAGCTGTCTGAAGGAAAATTTTCTATAACCATGCGGCCGCATGGTTATAATTCCTTGCGGCCGCACATGGTCTAGCAGGGTTTCAATTGAGCTGAAAAATTCTGAACTTCCGTTTTTAATTGAAACTCTTTTGGAGCTCCGTGAGGACATTATATAAAAGCCAAAATTCATCAGAAATAGGGCAGAACGTCCAGGGAGAAGAAGAAGAATACAACTTTTGGAGGCAAGGAACATGAACTTGAAGCCGATTTCACAAGGATTCAAAGGGGTTTTCAAGGTTTTATTCAAGATTTCAGATTTCAAGAACTTTCATACGAGTGTTCTTCTTTCTATTCATTAATTTCGTTTTATTTTCTGTAATTATGAATCTTTTAGGCTAGGTTTTCACTTACTAGGTGATCGATGAACCGTTGTTTGTTATTTTAATTCTATATTTCATGAACTTGATATAAAGATTCGTTGGATAATTTGATTGACTTACATGCATTAATTTTCTTCCGCAATTAGTGGCCAATGATTGTGTGAGTATTGATGACTTGTTTCTTACATTCGAGAGAAGTGGAATAGGTTCGATAAGGTGTAAATTAACATAGGGTCCGATAGGGGATAGAGATATACCCCTATGCTTTATGTAATTCTTAAATTGTTCACAAAATTACATGCATTCTTGTATGTTTGCATCATCCATAGAGATATAGGCTGGTGGTGTGCAAGAATAGGTCTAATATATATTGAGAGAGTATATTGGATAGAATTAAGAATATTGAATTGGCAAATTTTCATCGAATCATTAATTCTATGAAATTAGGGTTTTTATAACTTCAATTGGGGATTCGTGATCCTAGTGACTTTAGTTTGATTCATTTTAATAAATTAGCTTTTAAACTTGCTTAATTTCATTTACTTGAGTGTTTAAGTCGTTTAATTAGAGAAATTTCGAAATTAGGGTTTCTAATTGAGAAATTAGGGTTTTCAATTGAAATTACGGCTTTTTAATTGAAATTAGGGCTTTTTGCATTTAGATCATATTTTCACTCAATTAGATTCGGTTAACGCTAGATTATATAGAATTGAACTACTCAATCTCTGAGGGACGATATTCGGACTTTTAAAAATCCACTTTATTACTTGTTACGAACCATACACTTGCGGTAATTTTAAATCGAAAGAATTATTTCGTGAACATGTTTTTGGCGCCGTTGCCGGAGATTGAGTATTCGTCTAATTTTATTCAATTTAGCACTAATTCGAACTTTTTATTTTTAATGTATTTTAGTTCATTTTATTTTATTGTTAGTTAGTTTTCTTACATAATTGCATATTTTAGTTACTTAAATCCTTAAATTGAATTCTATTGCAGAAGTGCATGCCAAGATCCGTTGAAGGAGATCTACTCCCAGCCGACCCAGAGATTGAATGAAGTTTCAGAAGAAGGCAGAGAGAAAACAGAGCAGTGAGAAATCGGATGGAGAACGTACAACACAATCCTGTTGTACAAGCCAATGAAAGAGGGGAAGAAGACGAAGAAAACATGCTCGTTGGAGAGTTCATGACCCCTCAAATCATTCAAAGCCAATCCAGCATTGTGTATCCACCATTCGGGCAGCCAAATTTCCAGTTGAAGACAAATGTGATACAACTATTTCAGAACAGACATCAGTTTTATGGAAGAGTTGAAGAGAACCCGCACACGCATGTCTCGCGCTTCTTAGAGATGTGCCAGCAATTCAGATATCAAGGAATCTCTAACGACGCCATAAGATTAAGACTGTTCCCACATACTTTGCGGGACAAGGCGATTGAATGGCTTGATTCTCAGCCGATAGCCAGCATTACTACCTAGAATGACCTAGCTCAGAAGTTCTGTACTAAGGTCTTCCCACCGGCCAAGATTGCAAAGCTAAAGCACGACATATCTATCTTCAGGCAAGGTGAATCTAAAAATTTTGATGAGGCTTGGACCAGATTCAAAAATCTACTAAGGAAGTGTCCACACCACGGGATTAGCAAGGGGCTTCAGGTACAATATTTCTATGCAGGGCTACTTCCAGCTTTCAAGAGCATGGTTGACTCTTTAGCTAATGGATCATTGTCCACAAAAACAATTGATGAAGTATTGAAGTTATATGAGACAATGGCTACAACCTCGGCAATGTGGACCATGGAGCGAGCAGTACCAAAGAAGACACCAGGAGTTTATGAAGTGGATATATATTCAGCGTTATCTGCCAAGATTGACTCCTTATTTCACAAGGTGGAAAACATTACCCGGTCAGCTAATGCGGCGCAGACAAAGAAGGCAAATTGTGAGAAATGTGGAGCTGAGCATGTGACAGTAGAATGCCCAATTTTGACACAAGGAAAAGAGCAAGCAAATTTTGCTTAATGGGGACAACGCCAACAGAATAATGTGTATGGAGAGACCTTCAATCCAAGCTGGAAAAAGCACCCCAACTTTTCTTGGAGCAACCAAAACCAAAAAAAGCCACAAGGGCAATACCAACGGGAAGAGAAGACGCCTCAATTGGAAGAAATGTTCGGCAAATTCATGGAACAGACCAACCAATATATGGAGGCGAACAACCAATTCATGAAGAAGACAGAAGCCACTCTTCAGGACTAGAATGCAGCCATTAAGAATTTGAAAACTCAGATGGGACAGATAGCAGTTGCATTAACAAGTAGAGCACAGGCAGCCTGCCAAGTAACACAGAAGTCAATCCGAAAGAGCATGCAAAGGCTATAACAATGAGAAGTGGGGTGGAATTGCTTGAGAGACAAGTGAATAATCTCATGACAAATAGAGAAGAGGTGTCTCCTGAAGTAGAAGAGAATTTGGAACAAGAAGAACAGACAGAAGAGCCAACACCGAGAGCAAATAAAGGAAACTCAAGGGATAAAGAAACTGTAGCTGTGAACCCCTATGAGCCACCCATACCGTTCCCACAGAGGCTGAAGAAGCAAAAGATGGAACAACAATACAAGAAGTTTCTCGAGGTCTTCAAGAAGCTCCATATCAACATCCCATTCGTTGAAGCACTGGTTCAGATGCCTAGCTATGCAAAATTCCTGAAAGACATCCTATCAAACAAAAGGAAGCTAGGAGATCATGAGACAGTTATGCTAACAAAAGAGTGCAGTGCCAAGATTCAGAGAAAGCTTCCACCAAAATTGAAAGATCCAGGGAGTTTCAGTGTCCCTTGTACCATTGGTGAATTTTATTTTGATAAAGCTTTATGTGATCTTGGTGCAAGTATTAACTTAATGCCATTGTCTGTTTCAGGAAATTAGGATTGGGAGAAGCTAAAGCTACCACGGTGACCTTACAGCTGGCTGACAGATCATTAACACATCCACGAGGAATAATTGAAGACGTGTTGGTTAAAGTGGAGAAGTTCATATTCCCAGCAGATTTTCTGATTCTGGATATGGAAGAAGATAAAGATGTTCCTTTAATACTGGGCAGACCATTCTTAGCCACAAGCAGAGCTTTGATCGACGTTCAGAATAGATAGTTGATACTGAGATTGTGAGAAGAACAGGTTTCATTCAATGTTTTCAAGGCCATGAAACTGCCAATAGAGACTGACAGATGTTTCAGGGTTGACATGATTGATAAAATGATTGAAGAGTCATTTACACTGCAAAACCCATCAGATGCATTGGAGGCCTGCATTGTATATTCTAAATCCACGAATTCTGATTCTGAAGACATAGAAATGTGTGCAAGGTTTTTGGAGTCCAACCCACCTTACACACGAGAACGATACTTTGAGGAGCTTGGGACAGGGCCAGAGAAATCATAGCCATCTATTCTGAAGCCACCAAAGTTGGAACTTAAGCAGCTGCCCCCACACTTAAGATATGCATATTTGGGGGAGTCCAATACACTTCCAGTTATAATTTCAAACATGGTTAGTGAAGTGGAGGAGGAAAAACTTCTTAGGATGCTTCGAGATAACAAGCAAGCAATTGGGTGGACCATAGCTGATATCAAAGGGATCAACCCTTCCTTATGTATGCATAAAATTCTCATGGAGGAGAATTTTTGACCAACAGTTGAAAGTCAAAGAAGGCTAAACCCAAACATGAAGGAGGCAGTAAGAGCTGAGGTGATAAAACTTCTGGATGCTGAAATAATCTACCCGATATCAGATAGTAAATGGACTAGTCCAGTGCAAGTTGTGCCCAAGAAAGGAGGAATTACAGTGGTTCAAAATGAAAAGAATGAGTTGATTCCGACAAGGACGGTAACAGGGTGGAGAGTTTGCATTGATTACCGCAAACTAAATACCGCTACAAGGAAAGATCATTTCCCTCTTCCGTTTATAGATCAGATGTTGGAGAGATTGGCAGGCCATTCCCACTACTGTTTTCTGGATGGGTATTCGGGTTATAATCAGATACCAGTGGCACCGGATGATCAAGAGAAGACCACCTTCACATGCCCTTATGGTACCTTTGCATACCGAAAAATGCCATTTGGACTTTGCAACGCTCCTGCCACATTTCAGCGATGCATGATGGCAATTTTCTCAGATATGGTAGAGAAATTCATTGAAATCTTTATGGATGACTTCTCTGTCTTTGGGACCTCATTTGATGAGTGCTTGGATCACTTAAATTTGGTTTTGCAAAGATGCAGAGAAACGAACTTAGTACTGAACTGGGAGAAATGTCATTTCATGGTTCAAGAGGGAATAGTCTTGGGACATAGAGTATCGGTAAAGGGGATAGAGGTGGATAAGGCAAAAATTTAGGTTATTGAGAAATTACCACCACCTACATCAGTAAAAGGAGTTCGAAGTTTCCTTAGGCATACAGGGTTTTACAGGAGGTTTATAAAGGATTTCTCCAAAATCACCAAGCCTCTGTGCAACTTGCTAATGAAAGAGGTATCTTTTGAGTTTGATGAGGAATGTTTGATAGCGTTCAATACTTTGAAGGAAAAACTCACAACAGCGCCTATGATTGTGTCACCTAATTGGGATTTGCCCTTTAAGCTAATGTGTGATGCGTGTGATCATGCAGTTGGTGCAGTATTGGGAAAAGAAAGAATAAAATCTTTCATGTGATATATTATGCAAGTAGAACTTTGAACGATGCCCAAATCAACTATGCGACGACTGAGAAGGAATTGCTAGCTGTGGTTTATGCATTCGACAAGTTCAAATCATATCTTGTTGGGTCTAAGGTTATCGTCTACACAGATCATGCTGCTCTGAAGTATCTTATGACAAAGAAGGATGCTAAGCCGAGATTGATCCGTTGGATATTGTTGTTGCAAGAGTTCGATATTGAGATCAAGGATAAGAAGGGTAGTGAAAATGTGGTAGCCGACCACCTATCAAGATTGGAACGGAATGAACCTGAGGTGTGAGTTGACATCAATGAAATCTTTCCAGACGAGCAAATTTTTGGAGTGGAAATAGTCCCATGGTACGCTGATATCGTTAACTACCTTGCTAAGTCCATCCCGCCACCAGACTACTCTAGCCATCAAAGAAAGAAGTTCTTCGCAAAGTTGAAGTATTAATTTTGGGAGGATCCCATTCTCTACAGAAGAGGCACACATCAGATAATCAGAAGATGTATTCCTGAAGATGAAGTACCTGAGATTCTAGAACATTGTCACTCTTCTGCATATGCTAGGCATTTTGAAGCTTCAAAGACTGTTGCAAAGATATTACAGTCGGATTTCTACTGGCCTACTTTATTTAGAGACACATTCGAGTAGGTGAAGAGATGCGATAAATGTCAACGAACTAGAAATATCTCAGAAGAAATGAGATGCCACTAAATTACATTTTGGAGGTTGAAATATTTGATGTATGGGGAATAGATTTCATGGGACCTTTCCCCCCGTCGTACTCAAATCAATATATCTTGGTGGCCGTTGACTATATCTCTAAGTGGGTGGAAGCTATTGCATTGCCTACTAACGACACGAAAGTGGTGATAGAGTTCTTGAAGAAGTACATATTTACAAGATATGGTACACCAAGGGCAATAATAAGTGATGGGGGCAAGCACTTCATAAATCTTCAATTAGTGCAGCTGTTGAACAAATATGGGGTGAAACATAAAGTAGCAACTCCATATCATCCACAAACCAATGGGCAAGTTGAAGTTTTGAACAGGCAGTTAAAGAGAATATTGGAAGTTACAGTGAACTCATCCCGAAAAGATTGGTCTAAGAAGCTTGACGATGCACTTTGGGAAAGCGTGTCATCTACCATTGGAGTTGGAGCATCGAGCATATTAGGCTATGAAACAGTTGAATATGGATCTCAAGGCTGCTGGTGAAAAACGACTACTGCAACTTAATGAATTGGATGAGATGAGAATGGAAGCCTACGAGAACTCAAAGTTGATCAAAGAGCGCACCAAAAGATGGCATGATTTAAACATTCAGAGGCGAGAGTTTGAAGTTGGACAGAAAGTGTTATTGTACAATTCTAGACTCAAACTCTTCCCAGGAAAGCTAAGAACAAGGTGGTCGGGTCCCTATACCATAACTAAGGTGATGTAATATGGGGCTATTGAAGTGAGTCACGAGACCAAAGGCACTTTCATCGTCAATGGGCAAAGACTGAAACATTATTGGGGATGTAATTTCCCTAAGCAGAAGTCCACTGTGCAACTCAACAACCCAACGTGAAGAAGATGCAGGAAAGTCGAGCTATCGACTATAAACTAGTGCTGGGTGGGAGGCAACCAACTGTATCCTTCAATTTATTTTATTGCATTTTGTTTTGGAATTTGTTTACATTTCGTAAGTTTCATTAGGACATCCATCATTCACGCATGATAGTCTAGGCACTACATGTTTATAGTTGCATGAGTCAGGGTTAAAGAAAATGTTTTGGGTGTTTGAGTGTGAAGTAAAGAATTTCAGGGTTCAAAGTCGTTCGTTTTATTTTTCGAGATGTTTTTTTTTTTGTTTTCAAAAAAAAAAATTTAAATATGAAGAGTCGAGTTGGTTTTAAATTTGAAAACCAATGTAGGGGAATTTTTAAAATTCATGGTGTGTTGGGGGTAAAAAAATTATAAATTTAAAAACAAGAAAAAATTTGGTTTGGTCCATGCGGCTGCATGGACAAAGGTCGCATGGACCCTTACCGAAATTAAAAGGGGCGTTACCATTACACCATGCGGCCGCATGGTGTATAAGTGACGGGTTATTAACCCATCACTTGCGCCCATTTTTTTCATTTTCTCCCCCTCCCCAAAACACGAACACATATTTCTTCCACACATTCAACTTCACACGAGCAAAAATCACTCCACCAAGCATCAAATCTTCACCTTAGCACCGCATTTATCTTGTCATTGCAATTGATATCAAGAAATTTTGAAGCATTTCTCTCCAAGTTCGTCTCCAAGGTAAGAAATTTACTTTCTATGCAAAGTATGAAGTTTTTCTTTGATGTATTGCCATTTTCGAATTGGGTAAGTTTTAAATTGTGATTGAATTGTGAATTGTGGACTAGCCCTAAGTGTAAATCAAAAGCAAAGTGAAGGAAATTTCCAATGCACACAACGTGTTCGATTAAATGTCAATGAGACATATGACTCTAAATTTTGAACTTTTCATTTGGGTGATGATTTACATTGTTAATGTGAGGCGTACTAGACGAAAAGTCTCATGGAATTTCATTGGAAAACGTTAACCTCACATATATGTGCACATAACCACATAAATTGCTAAGCCATGTCAACTCACGTCCCTAACTTCATCCATGTGTTTTCCTAACCAAACGACCTCCGATTGTAGTGAAATTTGGATACATGCTAGGCCACAATGAGTACTTTCATATGCCCGGACCTTGTCTGGGGAATTTTAAAATTTCTTGATGATGCTCGGGCTGAAGTTGGTCACTTGATCATGGGTCGAATTTTCAAAAAAATGCATGTTAGAGCCATAGTTTTGAGTTTTTCTCATTAATGCACTATTGATGTTACTTTGACTTCCATGCATTGAATATTGCACACATTTTGAAGAAAGTTTGGGGGATTTGTGCTTGACATTGATATTCTTCATCGTTTTCTTATTTCACAAACTTGATATACTTCGTTCCTTATTTGTGTAGGATGCCACCGAAGAGAACATCAAAAGGTAAAGAAAAAGTTGGTTCCTCCTCCGGCACAGCCCGCACCAGAGAGCTAGTAGGAGGTGTGCGAAGATTCCGTGATGCTGAAACATTAGCTCGATATGAGAACATAATACACCATTGGGGCATGATACCAGATAGACAAGTCCAGTTAGATGATTTCCGTGGTTTTAAGTTGCCAAATCTGATACAAATTTGAGGGGAGAAGATTGTAGAGAAGCCACACCCGGTTTATGAAAGTTTAGTCCGTGAATTTTATGCAAACTTCAATAGTGAAATTGAGACTCCGGGTTCTGAACACTTACACCAGACATAGGTGCAAGGTAAGTGGATAATGTTCTCCCCAGCCGTCATTCATGACTTCTACAATCTTAATTTGGACAATGTGGTCCTGATTCCCGCTCAATTCAATTGGAATGAAGTGGCGGAGGTTCTCTTGGGAAGAGAGAATGCTTGGCCCCTACCCACTGCAGAGTGGCATCAAATTGAGCTTACTCCCTCCATAGCCATCCTTTGGGTCTTCATGTGCCATAATATCGAACCCACATCGCATCGAACAACTTTCACGGATCAAACTGCTGGGTTCATATATCATTTAGTCCGGGGATGCAAAGTTGATTTGGCTACTCTTATTTTTGATCAGATACACAATTTGGGAACCTGGGGAGATAGGCGGTCTTCGATGATTTTCCCAAGTCTGATTAGTGAGATATGTCTTGCTGCCGGTGTTACAGTTGAGGCAGGGGAGATGCCTGAGAAATCAAGCCCATTGATAAAGCTCACCACATTTGAAGCTCGGGAACAAGTTAGGCTAAGGAAGAGAGAACAAGAAAGACTGACCAGCAAAGACAAAATGAGCACGAAGAAGGACAAGCTACTGATGATTTACACTTACCACAAGCCCCGCCACAACCAGTTGAGATGGATTCGCAACTACTTCGACAAATATTTACCACAGCCACTGGAACTAGTAGAGACATACAAAACCTCCAGCAGAGGTTCGAGACAATGACCACCACTGTTGAAAAAATATAGAGAGACCTCTACTCATCCCGAGACTACACAAGAGGTGCTTTGAATGAAGCCACAGCTGTGAGAAGGAAAGTAGAGACTATGAATGGTAGGTTGAACATGTACGCTGGGAGAATGGATGGCATGCAGTGGCGTGTGAACGAGACTTGGGATCGCTTGGGAAATATGGAAAGTAGTCTTCAAGCCATTCAGGCCGAGCAAGCACAGTAGTCCGAGTTGCTGAGACAAGTCCTATCTCGCCTCCCACCTCCTTCTAAAGATGATGCTGCGGGTCCCAGGTTCACACCACAGCCACTGCATTGATCAGGGGAGTTTTGTTAATCTCTTATTGCCAAGTTGTGTCCATGTTTTAAATTCTGCCATTTTAACTTTACATTTTACATTGAGGACAATGTATTGTATAAGTTTGGGGGATGGTAGCATAATTTCAAACAAATATTCGGCATGTAATTATTTTGCATATTCACAACCCATCGTTAAGTTTGACAAGTTTTTGCATGATGCATGCTTGATGAGTGAATCTTTATGAACGTTTGCATGCTTGTGTGGGTTTGGTAGCCTTACCGGCTATGATGTGATTATTGGACATGTATAAGCTAGAAACTGTGGATTTAGTGCAGGATTTAATTTGCTAATACTTGTTGATGCATTGCTTGACACTCTTTTACACGCCACTCATGTCACGTGTTAAGTTATTGATTGGAATCTTAGAATAAATTAGGAGAAACCTAGAATAACCCTCTATAACATTAACCCGTAATATCACTTTAAGATAGTTTGGAGATGATTGAGCCATTGTAGGAAAACATGGAGATAAGTAGGGGCTCCGTGCATGAAATTATAATGTGTGGATTGTTTAAACCCAGAAGGTGAGAAATATGTGAAAGCTTTAAGTGAGGATGGTTTTAGAAGTCAAATGTCTAGAAAAACAAAGAAGGGGCATAAAGTAAAAACTGGAAATTTATCACTTCTCTCAAAAAGCCTTTATGACTCGAGCAAGTAAGTCTGTAAGGGTTTAAAACCTGATGCCCTAATACCAACTGATTTGGGAGTCATCGGCCTAAAGCTCGTTACATGGGTCATATAGAAGCAAGAAAAAAGGAGAGTTGATAAAAAGTCATCTTATCGAGCCTTTATAACTCGAGTGAATAAGACTGCAAGGGTTTAAAATCCGGTGCCTTAAAGCCAACTGGTTTGGGAGTCATCGCCTAAAGCTCGTTACATGGGTTATATAGAAAGCAAATGAGAAGATGACACAAAAAATAATAAAAATAAAAATAATAAATAAATAAAATAAAAGCCTTCGTTGGACATTTGGTTGATAGAACTATAACCTCAACGCGAAGCAAGTAGCTTAGTTTAATCCTAAAGGTTGAAGCAATCAAAAACAAGGAGAGTCTCTACTTGTTGATATGTGAACTTGTAATGGTAAAATCTATCCAAACTAAGAGAGTGTAAGGATTAGAATTGTTTAAACTTCTAACCTTAGAATACACCCCGGAGAAATTGTGTGAAAAGAATACATTTGGGGATTGTGTATCTCTCGAGTGATGTAAGGATAAATTTGACCACTATGGGTCTGGAATAAACTAATCATAAGCTTGACATGTTGGCATGAGTTCACACACACGTTGAGTATTGCATTTGATGAGTAAATGTTGATTCAATTCTCGCACTCTTGATATTGTTTCTATTATTATTTCTAAGTCCAATCCTGAGACACGGCAAGCTATTAAGCCATGTTTGTTTAGCATTAAGTTACTACATTGTTTGAGGACAAACAATAGTTTAAGTTTGGGGGATTTGATAAGTGTGTTTTTACACACTTATTTAGCTCACAAACATGACTTAAATATGGACAAAGTAGTTGAATTGTGACTTAATCTTGTTAAATTCATGCAATGTAGGTGTTTCTATGGAAAAGATGGAATTTAGAAGAAAAGAGCCGAAAAAGGACCAAAACGGAACAAAGCGATAGTTCAGGGACCAAGTTGCAAATAATCCATAGATGAGACGGGAAATGGAATGAAAATTCAAGAGTGTTAGAGGTCAATCGGATGAGGAAAGGAGTCAAGAGGTGAAATATGGTCGAAATATTATCAAGTATCAACTTTCAGGCGAAAAAGTTATGCTCTTGATTTTGAGTCTCTACTTGAGATCCATTTTTGGCATAGTAATCAGAATTTGAGGAAGCCTATTTCTATCAAAATGTATATCTTTGAGTTTTCTTCCCAATGCACTTTGAATCACTTCAATCGGAGATCAGGAGAGAAAGTTATGATCAAAATACTAAAAGTTGTCTGAAGGAAAAATTTCTATAACCATGCGGCCGCATGGTTATAATTCCTTGTGGCCGCATGGTCTAGCAGGGTTTCAATTGAGCTGAAAAATTGAACCATGCGGTCGCATGGTTTAAGACCATGCGGCCGCATGGCTTTAAATTCGATAAAAAATTCTGAACTTCCGTTTTTAATTGAAATTCTTTCGGGGCTCTGTGAGGACATGATATAAAAGCCAAAATTCATCAGAAATAAGGCAGAACGTCCAGGAAGAAGAAGAATACAACTTTTGGAGGCAAGGAACACGAACTTAAAGCCGATTTCACAAGGATTCAAAGGGGTTTTCAAAGTTTTATTCAAGATTTCAGATTTCAAGAACTTTCATACGAGTGTTCTTCTTTCTATTCATTAATTTCGTTTTGTTTTCTGTAATTATGAATCTTCTAGGCTAGGTTTTCACTTACTAGGTGATCGATGAACCGTTGTTTGTTATTTTAATTCTATATTTCATGAACTTGATATAAAGATTCATTGGATAATTTGATTGATTTACGTGCATTAATTTTCTTCCACAATTAGTGGCCAATGATTGTGTGAGTATTGATGACTTGTTTCTTATATTCGAGAGAAGTGGAATAGGTTCGATAAGGTGTAAATTAACATAGGGTTCGATAGGGATAGAGATATACCCCTATACTTTATGTAATTCTTAAATTGTTCACAAAACTACATGCATTCTTGTATGTTTGCATCATCCATAGAGATATAGGATGGTGGTGTGCAAGAATAGGTCTAATATATATCGAGAGAGTATATTGGATAAAATTAAGAACATTGAATTGGCAAATTTTCATCGAATCATTAATTTTATGAAATTAGGATTTTTATAATTTTAATTGGGGATTCGTGATCCTAGTGACTTTAGTTTGATTCATTTTAATAAATTAGCTTTTAAACTTGCTTAATTTCATTTACTTGAGAGTTTAAGTCGTTTAATTAGAGAAATTTCGAAATTAGGGTTTCTAATTGAGAAATTAGGGTTTTCAATTGAAATTAGGGCTTTTTAATTGAAATTAGGGCTTTTTGCATTTAGATCACATTTTCACTCAATTAGATTCGGTTAAGGCTAGATTATATAGAATTGAACTACTCAATCTCTGAGGGATGATATTCGGACATTTAAAAATCCACTTTATTACTTGTTACGAACCGTACATTTACGGTAATTTTAAGTCGGAAGAATTATTTTGCGAACAATTATTTATGTTTATTATATGTCGGATATCAAGCATAATTTATTAAGTCTAGGACAGCTCCTAGAAAAGGGATATGACATTAGTTTAAAAGACTCCCACTTAATAATCAAAGATGATCGTGGATATCCAATATCCCAAGTACGAATGTCTAAAAACAGAATGTTTACTTTAAACATTCCTAATGACTCACCATAATGTTTAAGTGCCATTATAAATGACAAAAATTGGTTGTGGTACTTGAGACTTGGATATTTAAATTTTCAAGGATTAAGATTGTTGTCAAAGAAAAAGATATTGAAGTGGTTGCCAAATATTGATCATCCGAATGAAGTTTGTGAAAGCTATGTTCTTGGCAAGCATGGACGAACAAATTTCGCAAGGGAGACAAGTTGGAGAGCAAAGAAGCCACTGGAGTTGGTCCATACAGATATATGTGGCATGTTGAAGCCAATATCAAATGGACAAAACAGATACTTTCTTACGTTTATTGATGACTATTGTAGAAAGATATAGGTATACTTTCTCAAGAAAAAGTCAAAGGTGTTGAATGCATTTAAAGAATTCAAGTCCAGTGTTGAAAAACAAAGTAGCTATCACATAAAGATATTGCGGTCAGATCAGGGAGGAGAATA